TTTGCTGCGACTGGGAATGAGACGAGGGCTGGCAACTGGAATAGCAAATGGGGTGGCCTGAGTGCTTAGGAAACAGGAGTCAAAAACATGGGTCTAGACCAGCGGTTCTCAACCTGCGGGTCACGACCCCTTTGGGGGTCGAATGACCCTTTCACAGGGGTCACCCGATTCATATCAGTAGCAAAATTATAGTTAGGAAGTAGCAACCAAAATTATTTTATGGTTGGGGGGGTCACCACAACATGAGGAATTGTATGAAAGGATCACAGCATTAGGAACGTTGAGAATCATTGGGTTAGAAGGAAACTGCTTTTACAAGGAAATTCACTGTAACCAGAAAGAACCTCCCAGGTGATGCCACTGGGTGCACTAACTGAGTGAATTGCTTGGTGCTCACATAGCATGAAAAATGTGTACTATGAAGCTCCACCCAGCGAGATGCCGGGGTGTTTTGTTTTTTTTGAGGTGGGGACCCCTTGTATCACACATCTTTTGCCAATTCAACTTTTTACAGATGCACAACCTACTGACAGCAATTGAACTCAGAACAGGAAAGAGGACGGAGTCACTGGAATGTGATGTTCTTCAGGTGAGAAGTCATCGAGGTAGTTTGTGGAAATTTTCTAGTTGCTTCTGTTTTCCCAGTGACCCGGGAAGTGTGTCCATCAGCTGGGAGTGAGGATAGCTGTTGTAGATGGAACTTTGTCCCTCCACAATAGGTGTTGAATTCCTGGCCCTGGCCCTTGTATCCGTGGATAGGATCCCCCCTGGTAATGGACTTTTCTGCTGCTCTGTTAAAGAGGCTGACACTGTAGGGTGGGTCGGGTCCTAAACCCCATCACTCTGGGTTATTAGAAAAGACCAGCACAGATACGTAGGCATGTGGAGGAGAAAGCCTGGTGCCAAGGAACACCAAGGACTGCCAGCAGACACCAGAATCAAAGAGAGCAGCTCCCAGAGAGAATCAGTGCTGAGACTCTGATGAGAACTTCCAGCCTCCTGGACTGTGAGAAAATACATTTCTGTTCTGCAACAGCACCCCCTTGTGGTATTTCTGTTACGGCAAACCCACAGTCATCAAGTTGATCCCACCTCATAGTGGCCCTATAGGACAAGATAGAATTGCCCCCATGGGTTTCCAAGACTGTAACTCTACAGGAGTAGAGGCCTCCTATTTCTTCCACGGAATAGCAGGTGGTTACGAACTGCTGACCTTGTGGTTAGCAGCCTAACACTTCACCCCCTATGCTACCGCTACTAGGAAAGGAAGACAATGGGGGGAGAGGATGTTTCTGGAGGAGGAAGAAAAGAGCTGTCGAGAAGATGCAATGTGAACAGAGCCAGGGAATAGGGAATGGTTGTGAGGGATCATTAGAAGCCCACTTGGGAGCACCCACTAACTCACTGCCGTTGGATTAATTCTGACTCCGAGTGACTCCACAGGGCAGAGTGGAACTGCTCCCAGGGGGCTTCCAAGACAGAAGCAGACCACCCCATCTTCCTCCCATTGAGTGGCTGATGGGTTTGAACCGCTGACTTTCCAGGTAGCAGCTGAGCCTTCAGCCACTGTACCCCTAGAGGTCCTGCACCTGAGGTTTGCGATGATTAACATTCCAAGTCTAGAATTTCAGTGCCACAGCCAAGGTGGTGCCTGCCAGGGGAGGTGGGAAGAACCGGCAGCTTGGGTGGACACCCTTACAGAGTTGGCTCACATAGCTACTTCACTTCCCTCATTTGAATTTCGGGCTTACATTTCTCGGATCCGATTTCTTGCTGGTCTTTTAGGAAGAGAATGCACTGGGCCTAAGAACTGAGGAATAATCTGGCTTCTGGAAAGGGCATTGCTCATGATAAATATATGTATTCTGGCCTTAAATATAAAAAAGCTTGAAGTGTCCCTGGCTGGTTAGGACCAATGCATATTCATCCTGGTGCTGAAGCTGAGAACTTTGATATGCCCTGAGACCTTTTTTGGGTAGCCTTCAACAGGTCTGGACACTGTCCCTCCACCTGCAGTTGGCACCTGGGCAGAGGGCAGGCACGGGACTCTTGGCGCTTGTTTCTCTATCTGTAAACTGAAGGAACTGACAGGGCTTCAAAGAGTTCTTTCCCAAGTTCAAGGTGACTTTCAGGAAGCCCCACCCAGGGGATTCAGATTTGCACAGTCCACTCACATAGTGCTGGTGCGGAGGTTTAGAGGGACGCATCATTCTGATGCATTTCAACCTCGACGAAAATTACAGAAACCATTTACATTTATCTCCTACCATTGATGCTGACTTATCCCTTCTCGACGAGACAGATAGAGACCCAAACACATTTTCTGCCGAGCCTTTCATCTTGAAATCCTGCGTGGTATACACCCATCTCTATGGATACACGTCAATTTGACGAGGATGTAAATTGGGTATTTATCCCCCCTCCTGGGAATTCGGTTACATTCATGAAAGCATTACTTCAATAATCGATATAAACGCAGTCGAAAAGTTCTTAGAAAGTCAACATCGAATGTGAAGACAAACATGCAGCAGAGATGGTCGTAAAATGACCCACCCAAGAGACCCTTATGATACGCCGAACCCAATATCTCAAGTGTTGTATAATATTAAATATTATACATTTCACATAAATATATTAGTTACATGTACAAGTTAATAGTGTAAATTATGTTGTTTTTAAAAGAAAATGTATGGTTTTGTTCACGTGTCAATTTGATGCATGTTTCGAGGACGTTAGTAAACCTAGTGTTGAGGTCGAGCTGGGAAGGGAGGTCCAGAAGAGAAGGCTGGATTTAGGCCCCTGTATCTCGGCTATGGTTGACAGTGAATGCCCAAAATCCACTGGCAGAGTGCCCACACAGATTAAGCTGTCCTGGTGCAGTGGGAACCTAGTTGGCAGTTCAAAGCCACCAGCAGCTCTCCGGGAGAGAGTCCTGGACTCCCACAGCAGTACTGACCTGGATGTGAACTGCCTTGTCCTAGCGTGCGCTGGAAAGTGGATCACGACACATTTTTAGTCTGCCCTAGTTCTTACTGCTTGTTTCTCCGTGTTATTTTGTTGCTGGTATGTTGCCATGGGGGTGTGATTTTCTGTATATGAAATCCAGGATAGGAAACCTATCTTGGCAGTAATGCATGGATAGTTTCTTAGGGTTATGGCCGGGGAGTTTGGGGGGGAAATGGGGAGTTAATAATAATGGAAACAATGAAGCAAATACTCTAAAATTGATTGTGGTAATGATCGCACAACTCTTTGAAAGATACCTAAACCATCGAATTGGATAGTACGCGCGTCACGTCAATAAAACTGTTCAAATAAAAAGGTCTATTTTTCACTTTCTGGGCAGGATTCGAGGCGCCACCCCGCCCTCGCCCGATCCACTGCCATCGCGTCGCTTAAAACGACAGAGAACTGGTCCTCGGGTTTCCCACGCAGAAGCCGACGGTCACCTCTTCCCGAGGGACGCCTGGCTGGTGGGCCGGAATCGCTGGCCTTTCGGTTGGCCGCCGCGCGCTTTAACCGCGGCGCCGCCAGGACGCCCCCGACCCGATCCCAGCTCAACCCCACCTTGCTGCGAGTGTGATGGTGGAAGACCACGCTCCGCGATTCTTGCGTAGAGATCCACGCAGCGCCCACACCCCGAATCGTAAAACTGCAAGCTTCACCGCGCATCTCCCGACCCCCGAGACGCGGCGGGGCCCCCCTCTTGCGCTCGGGGCGACGCGGAGCAGGCGTGGCCCCCGCCCGGCCGTGCGGGAGGCGGGCTGGGGACTCACATTTCTCGAGCACGGCCTGCCCGCAGTCCAGGCCGAAGATCTCCAGCTCCTCCGCCAGCTGCTGCGCGGACCCCGGCATGGTCACCTTCGGGGGACCGGGACTGCAGAGGACCAGATGGCCCCGGACCTCAGGTGGTCAGTCGCAAGGACACGCGTGACAGAAACTGGGAGGGCGCAGGGATCTCGAGACGAGGGGCGGCTGTCCCGGGGCGAGCGTCCCGCTCCCACAGAGAACCGCGGAACCGGACCCGGGCAGAACTCGGCGGCCGAAAAACCCGCCAAATGGGTTGTGCCGGACGCGCATGCGCGACAGCGGCGCGCGCCTCCAAGGCTCCGGGTTCCTTGCGCTTCACTTCCGGACTCCGTTTGCGCACGCGCGTTCGAGGTGGCGTACGCGCAGACGTCAGCACGCCCGTTCGCGCGCCACCTGGCGGCCCGCCCTCCGGCGGCTGCGCCGTCGTCTCTCGCGAGCGTGGGAGCCGGGGCGAGTCGTCATCGTGGAAGTTGGCCCTTCGAGTGCCATCTGTGGATCGTTGTTTCCTGTGACCCTGGCTCGTCAGTCACCCTTTGGGAGGCCTCCTATTTCTTCCACGGAATAGCAGGTGGTTTCGAACTGCTGACCTTGTGGTTAGCAGCCTAACACTTCACCCCCTAT